GAACAACCCTTATTAGACAACTGTAAACTCGTTAAAAGAACAATCGCTCGTAATGAATCCAACGTGCGGTCGCGAAAATGTTATTATCTTAGCGGTATGTTGACAGGAAAATTATATAAGTGAATACGTCGTAGAGACAGACGCGTTGAAACTGAGAGAAGTTGTATTGTGGCTACAGAGTGCGAATGTGTTGGCTCGACCGGGGAAGGACAAATAACATCGTAATTATGCTGCTGTGTTTTTTTTTATATTCTACTAAGCCAGCGCTTATCTACGATCCCACCTGATGATAACTGGTGATGTAGCCTAAGATGGTGAAGCGCACTGACTTAACAAAAGCCTATTCACTCTTGCCTTGAAGACACCCACACTGTAATCGGATGGAAAGACAGATACTGGCAACTTATTCCATGTGTTTCGTATGTGTGTGACGGGTACCGGAGACCATTTTTACTGGTAACGAGACATTGCATTTTTTTATAGAATAGGGTGACTAGCGAGCACACAGTCCACCTGATGGTAAGTGGATGCTGTGATCCATAGACAATACAGACACGTTGTCACCCCTGGGGACTAAAATGGAATGCCTCTTATCCAGTAAAAAGGGTTTCCGGTAATCTAAATAACAGCTTGGTAGCGATCACCTCATTCCCAGGGATTATTATAATAACCCTTTTTATACAAACTTAATAAAGTTTTTGAACATTGAACAGGTCAAATTTTGTATATTTTCTGGAATTTTGTAGTAAAAGCCTATACATCGCCCCAAGAATGAATTACTGGCTCGGTGGAGTGTAGTACCTGGTACTACTAGCTTGTGTCTGTTCCTAGTATTTACAGAATGAATATCACTTATTTTTGTAAATCTACTTTTATTTATGTGTACATTCATTACATTTTCATAAATGTATTGAGAGGCCAAAGTTAATATATTAATTTCCTTAAATTTTTGTCGCAGCGACTCTTTAGGCCTTAAACCATAAATTGCTCTTATGGGCCTCTTCTGTAAGACAAATATAATTTCAGTGTCAGCATATATCAAAATACCATATGCTATGGAAATAGCTAAAGTAAACTAGTCTAGCTGTGTCAACACTGGTAAGATTTCTAATCTTTTTTACACCGGTCGAACCGACTTATTCGTGCTAAAACCACAATATAGCTACAGCATGGCTCTACCACGTGTAAATTGCATCTTATTTACTGGTATTTTAACAAGACATTACGTCTTAGCTCTCAGTGACAAACGTTAGACAAACGAGCACGCAGTCCACCTGATGGTAGGACAACGTTGTGGCCTATAGACATCTACATCTACACTCTATTACGAATCAAAATGCAAATAATTAAAAATGCCTGGTTACCAGTTAAAATGGTTTCTAGTTCTTTACACTCGCCATACTATTATACCATTTTACGATGTTTTGATTTTTTTCTGTGAGTGCGTAGTCCTACCCCGGTCGAACCGATCCATTCGTACTACAACTATAATATAGCTGCAGCATGACTCTACCACTTATAAAACAACTAATCTGCATTCAGATCCTTTATCAAAAATAGATCAATAGGAATTCACTTACTATTAAGAGGTCGTGCGCTTGTATGTCACGCTTACCTACTTTTATAAAAATACTGGTTAGTTACACCCATATGAGTCCCACTGCTGAGAGCACAGGTCCACCTCATATTTTAGAGGGAACATGCCTTGGAAATATTTTATTTATCAGACTCTCAGACGACCCACCTATATACGACCCACTGCTCTACCTCCCACATGTAAACATGTATCTCTGCTTAGCCTAATGGTTGATTGAGAGAGAATGTCTTAAGGCATTAAGTTCGCCATATGTACTTTTTTATTGCATAAAAGTTTAAATAAATAAATAAATAACATGCAGGTTTCCTTAAGACGGTTTCGTTCACTTCCGCAAATTACCGCTTAAACTTATAATTGACATGGCATGGCTCAAACAGAACTTAAAATTGGCACTGTCTGGGATCAAAACCGGAGTGCTCGTGATCGCGTACTATGAAATTTACAACGAGCTCTTAGATCCTACGCTACCACGGCTCCATAAAATTATCCTACTTTATTATATTAGTTACTTATGCCTACAATGTTGATGAGGTTCTGATAACGCTTCGTACTTCTACATTTATAATTGTTATTAGTAGCATTACAGACCTTTACGCGTATTAAGTCTAAGGATAGATCTCGAGTTTGAATACCAACCGAAGCGAGTGTGCTATGAAAAGACATTTAGATTTTTAAAAAATTTTTGATTTTTCGGCTTGTAAAAAGTTTTGAGGCTAGGTAAAGTGTTAGGTTTAATTATATAATATTACATTAGTTAGACACACAAGCATAAGTAATTAAGCGGGTAAGCAAAACTTTCCACGGAAATCCGTTGTCTAACAAAATTCATGTTCCGAGGATTTGCAAAGTACGCCAACGAATTTTTACAGCTTCATAACGCTTTAACAAGTGGTAAAATGAAAATTTTCTACAACCGACTTCAATATAAATAAAATGAGAACATCACCATCCCAGTGCTGATATCCACGTCACAGGCAATGAAAGAGAATACAGAAAACCTTCATTTTATGTACGAAGAAAGCAAAAGTTCATCTGTCATCACGTATTAGGGTAGCGCAAAATCTTCCTTGCCCCAAAACCCTTTTAAGTATAAGAAGCCTGTGCACAGCGCTGAGATCGATATAGGTTGTTACATTATATTTTTCAGTGTAGTGAAATGATTTCTAATTATTTCACTTTCAAATATGTAAAAAAGTAAAGTTGCAGCCTTTATATTTTACACTGCTAAACACAGCACTTCGCTCCACTTGTCCTCCCAACCAGACGCTCGGAATAATTTAATTACGTGTATAACGTGGTTGAAGCCAATTAAATACGCATTATTAAAGATAACTCAAAAAGTACTGGTCACATATTAATCAAATTTATATGGGACCACATGAGAAGCACCAGCTTTCAAATAAATAATCATCAAAATCGGTTCACCTAGGAAAAGTTTTGAGGTAGCGCCACACAAAAATATATCGTCATATTGAGAACCTCCTCCTTTCTTGAAGTCGGTTGGAAAATAAGAAGTAGCCTGTACCCCAGCACTGAGGCGTAAATAAATTATTACTTTACTTCTCAACGCAAATTAGTAAAATACTAACGTGAAGTCCGTTTGAAAACAACAATAAATACACATGCGAATTAATTACAACTAATTAAATGAACTTCATTGTCAATACTTCGGCACTTAATGGTCTAGATTGTGTCTTTTAAACGCGTAACACGAGACTAAACTTGACCAGAATACTAAACTAACATCCACGTGTATTTACTAATTAACAATGTTGGTGCAACATTACAGAAGTCTACATGCCATCACATACCACAACGATAGCGATGCTTATTGGTTATAGTGACAGTGTTAGGAGACGCGATTTCTTATATTATCCGTTACTAAATTTTTGCAAAAAAAAACTTTTAATAAGAAGTAAACCCAAAGGGTGGCAAAATATGCGATGACTATCGACACTACATAGAGATTGTGATATTCCAGAGTCCACTCAAGAGAGTAATTGCTTTTGCTCATTATAAGTCGTCTGAAGTTAGAGCTTCAATCCTTCTATTCACTATGTAAGACATTGGCACCGATTTCAGAATGTAAAATTATTATTGCACGCCTCACAACGTGAGGGAGTGCTCTATCTAGTCTCGATATGTGACCATACCTCAATTTCGCTACATAAAATCGTTCTTATACTTTACATAACTACAGACATTGAATTACAAGATTAGTTTATTTTCTGATTGATTCACTTTCGATTACATAACAAAACATGTAATTGAAAAAATATATGGGCTGCCGTCCGTTGGTCTGTACGTCGATGAGTCTTCTCGCTTAATAGAAATGTAAGCAATAGATTGAGATATATAGTATTAGATACGATTCCATATATTCTAAGGAGGATCCCTATTGATTTTTGTTAATGAACTCAACACGGTTAAAAAGTTATTTATTTTTATCATCAAAATTAAATGAAATTTTTAAATTACAAATCCAAAAGTGCGTTATGAGCGTTTAAAAAAAAACTCTCATAAGGCGTGCACTTTTGGTTTTTCTAAACTATTTTCTTTTTAGTTAGAAGGCGACTTTTAATTTTTATTAAAAACTAGCCATCTGCCCCGGCTTCGCAAGGGTGATTTCAGGATCTCAACAACAACGCCACCTCCTATCGAGTCCAATTGTGAATCTAAACAATCCAGGAACCCAATCAAACACACAAAAAATTTCATTAAAATTAGTCGAGCCATTTTCGAGTTTTAACGAGACTAAAGGACAGCAATAGATTTTTATATATAGAGATTATTTTTTTACCCTTCGGAATGGACTAAGGAATATTCTATCTATATATATTATCTCAATGTTATTTAAATATTTACATTAATACCTGCATCCCCTACTTCACGTTTTCAGCTTTTTCTCCAAATTTATACGAGACCAGCCCCTAAACAATAACCTATTTAATAAAAACATAAACAAAATCGGTTCATACACTTAGAATATAATGTGTATAGGATCAAAGTAACGTAGATATTGCATAACATACATAAAAAAATCTTACAGTCGATTTGTAAATCTCCTTTTATATTTTAAAAAGTAAATATCTGGTGTACGGATTTTGTACTGCGATTGTCCGCGTGTCTCTGACATTACATCATAAGGACGACCATTTTGTTTAAACCAGACTTAAAAAACTCTAGAACGTGTGTGTCTCGACAAAAGGTGCGAGACGTCTAGTACTGGGATCACTAATCCGGCTGGAAAGCGTTCGCTTAGACTTAGAGCGAGTGGACTTTTGTGCAGAAGAAGAAGATATGGTAGTGTTCAGAAGTATTAATTCACCAAAAAATTTTATTGAACAACTCTTTGTCCATGAGATTAAAATGGATCACTTGCTTAGCAACTCATATAACTTACTTTAAAGTAAACTTCGACGCCATAAATGAGGAAGAATATGACCACGATGAAAAGTAACACGGCGTAACATCCGTTGAAGACGTGCTGATAGAAACTCTGAAACAAAAAAAATACATGTAAATAAAATAATGAAGATAGTGATAATTTTCTAAAACTATAAATGTTGTTCGTAAGAATTATATATATATATAGAAAAGAATTATAAAATAGCAATTAAAACACTATTGCTATTTTATAATTCTTTTCTAAGGCCTTGGAAAATCTTTACAAATAAGACGTCAGTGTGGTTATCAGCAAAATAAATTACTGATGCATTAGACAACAATATTATAGAGTTTATTATTTGCTATTTCAAAAGCATAGGTCTCTCGCTGAATAAAAAATATTTATAGTATCTATCTTATAATTTATCAAAGAATACGTTTTGACACAATTTATGTAAATCACAACTAGTTCTTAAGTATAGTGTAGTATGGTGAGGAGTCCCTAAGGAAGTTTGTTAGGGTCTAGTTTGTATAAAATGTATATCAATGATATATACTAAGTACAATAATAATGATATAATATTAATTTATATCAGTGATGTAATTGCCGTGTAGTCGCGGTGTAAGAATATCCACTACCCCCATATCGTCCCATTGGTGTCGTGAGAGGCGACAGAGGGAAACTGAAACAGGAGATGGACGGCAGCATCTTTTTAATAACAACTCAAAATAATAAAGAATTGCGGTTGCCAACCCGCCTGCCAAGCGTGGCAACCAGGGCAAAATCTATAGGGGACTATTATAGGCTGTGGTGGATGAATGGATAGATATAGATTTTAACAGTATTAGAGCCACGCGGCAGCTTTTGCTGTCGCACGGATGGGCCGGCTCGAACCGGGGTGGTACCACGACCTCACAGAAAACCAGCGTGAAGTAGAGGTTTACCTCTGCGTTTCGCTTGGTGAGTGCAGGTGGCCGGAGGCCCTTTTTACTGGAAATGAGGCATTCCATCTTAGTCCTCACGGGTGACAACGCATCTACATTTTGATTTTTAATAGAGGATAGATGTAGATGTCTATGGGCCACAGCAACCACTTACCATCAGGTGGACTGTGTGCTCGTTTGTCACCCTTATCCTATAAAAAAATATATATAAATTATATAAATACCTAAAATATATTTTCAGCTTTTGCCTCTACATTATCATTCATTCATTCTCAGCCTATCGTCCACCGCTAAACATAGACGTCCAACAAGATTATTTCCTAAGTATATTATCATACTTTTCATAGTTGCAACGCTTGGCAAACGGGTTGGCAACCGCAGTTTTTTTTTTCTATTTGTTATTAGAAAAACATTGCTCCCAATCTCCTGGTATGTTTCCCTCTGTCAGCTCTCACGATACCCACAAAACGATATTTGGTAATAGATATTCTATATTCTTACACCGCCACTACACGGTTAACCACCTCCACCTCTAGTTCATTGCTGTGCATGTTATTCGCGCTAATAACTCATTATTTGAAAGAAAAGAAATGCAAATAACAATTATTACCATTAACACCTAAAATTTGACTTACAAATTATTTTGAGTAGCATGATAATAATTTATATTAGTAATTATAATTTAATATTCTACTATTGTCTAAAATACATTTATGTGAAAATGTTTTTTTTTTTAATAGGATAAGACTAACTAACGAGCACACAGTCCACCTGATGGTAAGTTGTTGCTGTGACCCATAGACATCTACATCTGCCCTCAATAAAGAATAAAGAATCAAACTGCCTCTTTTCCAGTAAAAAGTGTAGCGAACCGGGTCTCCGGTTCGCTACACTCACCATACGAAACGCAGCAGTGTTAAGCTGCTATTTTACGCTGGTATATTGTGAGAGCGTGGTCCTTCCCGGCCGAGCCGACCCATTCGTGCTACAACCATACGTCTAATATAGCTGCAGCATGGCTCTACCACGTATAAAATGTTAGTCATGTATCGCAACATTTTTTAATTGTTTTTTGTTTTGTATGGAAATAAACAGCCGGCAATGCAAGCACACACAAACGTATCTAAAATTAAACAACGAAAGCAAACGATTATAGACAGAGCTCGCGAAATAAATACAATGTGTAAATAAAAAAGTAGTTGACCTTGCTAATTCGGTAAAATAGTACTATGAGATGACTAACGTGTTGGCAAAAAAAACCCAATAATAAACCAATTCATAATATTTACATTGTTTACAAAGTAAATAAGAATACAGTTTTGTACGTGATAGATAGAGCCATGCTGCAGCTATGTTGTGGTTGCAACAGCACGAATGGCTCGGCTCGTCCGGGGAAGGACAACGCTCTCACAGAATACCAGCGTAAAATAGCAGCTTATTGTTGCTGTGTTTCGTATGGTGAGTGTAGAGAACCGGGGACCCTTTTTACTGGACACGAGGCATTCCATCTCAGTCCTCAGGGGTGATAACGCATCTGCATTTTGATTCTTAATTGAGGATAAATGTAGATGTCTATAGGCCACAGCACCACTTACCATCAGGTGGACTGTGTGCTAGTTTGTCACCCTTATTCTATTAAAAAAACACAGCATGTACAAACTCCTTACAAAAATTATAACATAAGAAACAGCTTTGAAGCGACTACCTAATTCCCATTAGTTATTATCAACCATGTACCTAGTCAGGTCATAAATTCTGTCACATGTTTAATATAAGATAATTGAAACAAGTTTATTCATTATGTAACCATTTATATACCAAAATGAACTTAACAAAACATAGATTCTTATGACACTAAAGTTTATTTAAAATGACCTCCGTGATTTTGAATACAGGCCTTCAATCTGCGCGGCCAGTCGTCTATCGCAGCACGAACGAGGTCCATGTCAATATCGGCAGCTGCCTTAATCAAGGATGTCTTGAGTGACTCCAAATTGGGATGAGGCTTTGAGCACGCCTTTTCCTCCAAGTGTTGCCATATCTTGTAATCTAACGGATTCAAATCTGGACTGGAGGAGGGCCAGTCTTCGTGCCGGATGAAGTCGATTTCACGCGCCGCCAGCCAGTCTTGTGTGCACTTCGCTCTATGAGCTGGCGCCGAATCTTGTTGGAATACCCAGTGCCTGTTATTGAACATGGTATGAGAAACAGGTTCCACAAGGTTCGTCAGGACTGTATTTTGATACACAACTGCATGCGTTTTTACACCTTTCTCACAAAAATGTACCTCTGTTAAGCCCCAATAAGAAACTCCCAACCATACCATGAGCGAGGATGGAAAATGACCTCGTTGGACACGCGGAATACGGTTGCTCGCTTCTTCACTACTGTGTGCGTACACCTTATAATTTTGTTTGTTGTAGCTCTCTTCTACGGTAAAAATTTTGTCATCCGAAAAAAGAATTTCCCGATATTTTTTTCCCGCGTACCGCTTCAACAAAGCGCGGCATCTCTTCAGTCTCAGGTCCATTAGACGAGCATTCAAACGATGTCCTGTTTTTCTTCGATATGCCCGAAGCCCTAAGTCTTCATTTAACACCCTTTTCACCGTGGTTCTGCTTAACCCCATCTGAAGGGCTAACAGTTTCTGCTTACGTTTGGGATTTCTTTGAATTCGCGCCTTCACAGCTTTCATCACTGCTGGAGTCCTAACAGACCGGGGGCGACCACTTCTTGACCTGTCATCTACACTAGAGTCTTCATTGTATCGTTTTATTAGTTATATAGTTTTATTTTCATGAACAATTCGAAATTCGAATTCAATAAACTTTTTTGTGGCCAGCATTCTAAAAGAAAAGTTTTTACTGTGTGACAATACTTATGATCTGACTAGGTATTCATTTATCTTCTATACAAATAAATAAAATTGAAGTGTCTTTTTGTAATGTAAAAATAACAGCTTTTTACTAAATGCATGTGAAAGTATATACGGTAATTATAACAAAAACACAATTATAAAATTTTTGTCTGTCTGTCTGTTTGTTCCGGCTAGTCTCCGAAACGCCTGGACCAATTTCGACGGGACTTTCACTGGTAGATAGCGGATGTTAAAAGGAGTAACTTACTTATATTTTAGAAAAAGAATTAGGGTTCCGCGCAACATAATTAAAACCCTAAATTACACGCGGACGAACTCGCGGGGAACAGCTGCAATTATAATAACCTTTTGTATACAGCTTTTGTTTCATAAAATATTTGGTTATAGAAATTCCTTGTATATAATTAATAGAATCAGGCGTTACTTTGCGGAAATCCATTATATAAAAGCTTTTACAAAAATTTTTTTTTTAAAAAAAATTTTTACTTCGCAAATATCCGCGTTATAAAATAAAATGATGTGTCTTACCTAGTATGAAGAAGCACCTCCCGCCCTCCCTCAATTGCGTGCACTAACCCCGTCACCACTAATCCCAGCACCGCTACTCCCAACACCACTACACTAGGCAAGACACACCACTGACGATAATACGACACGTGTTTCGCCTCTACACGAGGCATCCTCAGGTGATATAGACTCTACGGTGGCTAACCGCTAAGTGAGCGGCGAGCCAAAACAACTGCCTTTTATACAAACGGATGACGCAACCGCTCTCTACCTAAGAAGAGAGCGACTGCGTCATGCGATAAAACATGCGACCAATCACCGCTGGACTTACGCAGCCGTTTGTAAAATTAAAAACAAACCGCCGCGCAACGCCCACATTATTAGAGAGCAGGCTTGAAGATATTTAAGAGAGGTGAGTTAGTAACATTTGTTTGTTCATTCAGCAATGCAACGGTATTATTATTACTTTTTAATATTTCTAACTGTTCCAGCACACACAGCCGCAGCCCTTTATTACACGTATGTAAGACTTTGTAAGAAATTGCGACCAGTCTGACCCACGTAAACGACGTTTGTGACGAATGCCACGCCGTTTACGTGGGTCAGACTGGTCGCAATTTCGAGACACGTTATAAAGAGCATTTAGCCGCGTACAGGAATTGCAATCCCGATAAATCCCATTTTGCCAAACATCTTTTGGACACTGGACACAACCTAGCCAACGACCACTCCTTTAAAGTCTTACATACGTGTAATAAAGGGCTGCGGCTGTGTGTGCTGGAACAGTTAGAAATATTAAAAAGTAATAATAATACCGTTGCATTGCTGAATGAACAAACAAATGTTACTAACTCACCTCTCTTAAATATCTTCAAGCCTGCTCTCTAATAATGTGGGCGTTGCGCGGCGGTTTGTTTTTAATTTTACAAACGGCTGCGTAAGTCCAGCGGTGATTGGTCGCATGTTTTATCGCATGACGCAGTCGCTCTCTTCTTAGGTAGAGAGCGGTTGCGTCATCCGTTTGTATAAAAGGCAGTTGTTTTGGCTCGCCGCTCACTTAGCGGTTAGCCACCGTAGAGTCTATATCACCTGAGGATGCCTCGTGTAGAGGCGAAACACGTGTCGTATTATCGTCAGTGGTGTGTCTTGCCTAGTGTAGTGGTGTTGGGAGTAGCGGTGCTGGGATTAGTGGTGACGGGGTTAGTGCACGCAATTGAGGGAGGGCGGGAGGTGCTTCTTCATACTAGGTAAGACACATCATTTTATTTTATAACGCGGATATTTGCGAAGTAAATTTTTGTAAAAGCTTTTATAATTCCTTGTATATTTTATGTGACTTCGTTGTAATAGCCTATACATTACCCCATGATTTACTAACTCTGTGGAGTCACGAAACTGGAATCACTGGCGTGCGTTTGTCGAGAGTTTGGAGTCGATAGATGTACGGCTCAGGATCGGTTTTATAGCGGTTTTTGAGAAGATGATGTGTAAATGTGTGTGTTTTATGCGCGTGCGCGCAAACACACACACTTACACAAAAAGTAACTAATCGAGAACGTACGAAAATAACACTACATCAAGAAGAAATATGACTAACCTTCAAAAACAAAGAGTACACACCTACTGCATTTGAAGTCATCATCTATCCATACAAGTCCACTGCTGAACATAGGCCTTCTCCATAGATTGCCTCAAACAAGGGATTTTGCCATATTTGTCACGCTTGGTTGGGTTTACCACCGCAGTTTTTTTGAATGGATAGTGGAGCAGCATCAGGAAGGTGCTGCTCCACTATCCACCCACGGAATTAAGACAAGCAATCGAAGCTCATTTCGAAACGGTAGTTTATTTAAAAAAAAGATTGACAAACGAAATTTTCTTTTCTCACATTGCAAAAATTAATATATTTTATTTCACTGTAAGAATTATTATGTTGTATAATTTAGTTGAAAGATTGAAACAGTTATATGAAAATTAGCTGGTAGATAAAGGATTTTAATTAGAAAATTAACATACTAGTAACACAAAACACTTAATAAATACTATATTCTTGTTCAAATAACACAACTTGTATGTTTTTACGTGTAGTAAAATCACACTTCTTCCCTTAAAAACAACGTTATTCCATTATAATATTCTCTTACAACTTCTAGAGAATTAATTGTTTTGAAGTATTATAAATCCGTTGAGTTAATTGAATAACAAATACAAGAAGCAAATACTCAAGCTAATATTATGCCTATTTACTACTTAGTAGCACTATAGTGTTATACTATAATACAAATTTTATACGTGGTAGAGTCATGCTGCGGCTATATTACTGGTATAGTTGCAGCACGAATGGGTCGGCTCGACTGAGGAAGGACCACGCTCTCACAGAATACCAGCGTAAAATAGCATCTTAACGCTGCGGTGTATCGTTAGAGAACTGGGGTATATGGATATGGTGAGTGTAGAGGACCGGAGATACTTTTTACTGGAAACGAGGCATTCTATCTTAGTCTTCACGGGTGACAACGCATCTGCATTTTGATTCATAATTGAGATGTAGATGTCTATGGGCACAGCAACCATTTACCATCAGGTGGACTGTGTGCTCGTTTGTCACTTTAGTTTTATAAATAAATATCCGTTAATTGATTGTTTCTATTGTATTCTGTTACTTTTTAATCCACGACGTACAAAGATGGGTGTTATAAGTTTGACCGCTATGTGTGTCTGTCTGTCTGTGGCACCGTAACTCTTAAATTAAAAGCAGGTTTTCTAAATTCTTAGACATATTTTATCAAAATCGTTTCAAGGTCATCAGCTGTTTTTTTCGTGGGTACTTTATATTTTGAATTTGAGTTATTTATTCACGCAGACATGGAGTGTAAAATATTAGGATTGTATGCTTACCCTTTTTTCAGGTGAGGTGTCAGCTACGTTAGTAGTAAGAACCTCAGCGGCCAGCAGTGAGTAGCTGATCAGGTTAAAAGTCACGAAGGCAAGGAAAGACTTGGAGAGGAAACGGGGCCGCTCCCAACGTATGTCGCGAAGATGGAACACCTGTTGACAAGTGACGCAAGTTAAATATTTTTTATGCTTCTCTGTTTGCGTTGTATAAATAAATGTTTAGTTTTATTTATTCGATTTTTAAAATACATAATTATTAAAACCGCCAGTACCAATGAACTTGAAGAAAAAGAGGTGCCTCTTTTCATTTCTGAGAGGGTTTTAGTCTACCGTGCTGTCCCAAATCCCAATGCGTGTTACTTCACATGTCTTCGAAGTACATATATTTTTTTTTAATTTCACGATATTATTTGGTAAATCAGCACTTAAAATTCAATTAACAAGTTTATTGGTGCTGGCGGCCCAGGAGAAGAACATAATTATATAAGTTGTAACTTTTGTGCAAAACAAGTATATAGACAATAATGAGACAGGTGAGAAGGTAAGCCTTACATTACGTAATAGTAAACAGATTTTGATTCCCGGCGGCATCAATTGAATTGTTTATTACTAAAATTTTTCTCTATATTGGGAGAGGCAAATGTACAGCAGTGAACTTTTATGAGCTAATGATGAAGTAGAACAAGGTATAAGTAGGTAAGGAGACCTGTATAAACATACGAGATTGTTCAAGGCCAATGAGGGACTTAAATTACGGCAAAAGGTTTAAAAAACTAACAATAAACTTACAAATATTATTTATGTGAGCGTCTACTATATGATTTACAATTATTATGACATGTTACATATCTTTTGTATAATCATAACGATCCTCTATGAGAATTAACAGTCCACCTGTATTTTTAATCTACAATGCATGAAATGGAATCTACTAGCGATCGCACGGGTGGTATATGGAACTAGACAACATCGAACCTACCGGGTCCAATTGTGAGTTTCAACTTTAAACCATTCAGGGATCCACTCAAACACACACAAAAATTTCTTCAAAATCGGTCCAGCGATTTACGGGGTTCAGTGACAAACACACGTACAAAAGAATTATAAATAAAGATTGTACAAAAACATAACAAAAAAATCAGTGACAGATAAATAAATGTAAATAAAGACTGCTCTGCCACTAGGGCCACCTACTTATAAACAACAGGCGTTGAACTTGTTAATCACTTTAAAGCCTTGCCGATATTGAGACCAATTATGCTTTTTTTATAGTGCCATTAAATTATTGTGCTACAGCCTTAGAGTCATAGACAAGCATAGTATGTATATAATATATGCTCGGAGTTTATACCAGCATCTTTTTAAACGGATCCAATAAAATAATGAAAATCTAATGTTCACAGATTTCTCAGAAACGGCTGAACCGATTTAAATGTTTTTTTTAAAAATTTAATACTTCAGGTGCGATCTCATAAAAATAGTAAAATAATTCTCCCCCTTCACCTTGGAAAAATGGCGGTATAGTTTGTAATGTAACTTAGACGCCTTTCTAATTATTACCTTGAATATTTGTGACATTGCTTAATGCACACCCAAAGGATAACTTAAATTAATTTTTGTTTTATCATATATTTACTTTAAATAAATATTAAAAAGTGGTTATTTTTCAAAATTAATTGTGCCCGTGCGTGTGTGTGTGCGTGTATGCACGTGTAAGAAGCTCTTCTCCTGTAAGCTCAAATAGGGCTTCCATTCTTCGGTTCATTGTGGTAACCCCGACTTCAGAAGCGATTATGTGGATTTTTTTTTTATTGGAGTGGGGGCAAACGAGCATGCGGCTCACCTGATGGTAAGTGACTACCGCCGCCCATGAACAACCGCAACACCAGGGGAATCGCAGATGCGTTGCCGGCCTTTTAAAAAGGAGTAGGCTCTTTTCTTGAAGGTCCTTAAGTAGTATCGGTCCGGAAAAATCGCTGGTGGTAATCGATTCCACAAGGACATTGTACGAGGGAGAAAACTTCTTCTAACTCGCACAGTGGTGGACCGCCAATCATCCAGGTGATATGGATGGTATTGCGAGTTTTGTCGCGATGTGCGATGGTGAAATTGAGCGGCTGGAATCAGTCCGAACAATTCCTTGCATTAATCTCCCCGTGGTAGATGCGATAAAATACGCAAAGAGATGCAACATCTCTACGCAGTGCCAGTGAGTCAAGCCGATCGGAAAGAACTCGGTTGTCGACGATTCGAACCGCTCTGTGCTGGATGCGGTCAAGTGGAAGGAGCTGGCACTGGGGAGCCCCTGCACAGAGATGGGAACAGTATTCCATGTGAGGCCGAACCTGCGCCTTGTAAAGTTGCAAGCGGTGTGTCCGCATGAAATACTTTCCCGCTCTGCTGAGCACGCCAAGCTTTTTAGATGCCAATTTGGCCTTCCCTTCCAAGTGACCACGAAACTGCACGTCACTCGATATGTCGACGCCGAGGATTCCGATACTGGCTGAGGCAACACGGGGAGTACCTTGAAACTGAGGAGATACGACAAAGGGGTCCTTTTTAGCGGTAAACGCGCAAACTTGTGTCTTCTGAGGATTAAACTAAACTAGATTTAGTCGCCCCCAATCCGAGACTTTGTCCAGCAAAGAATTTATCTTCAGACACAAGTTTGTTCCGGTACTCGGCGACGTTTTCCCGAGAAATATTGGCACGGCCGGTGTATAGAGCATCACCAGTGCTGTCATCCGTATAGCAATGAATGTTACTGGTTTGCAACATATCATTGATATGCAGAAGAAACAGCTTTGGTGATAGCACGCAGCCTTGTGGAACACCAGCGTTAATGGGCTTGTAATCGGAGCATGCACCGTCTACTACGACCTTGATGCTCCGATCTGCAAGAAAACTGGTGTTCCAATTGCACAATTTCTCAGGAAGCCCATAGGAATCGCTATGTCCAAACTAACGGCTAACTAACACCTCCCCCTTGGACTCCACTGCCTCCACCCATCTATGAGTTAGGTAACCTAGAAGATCACCAGCTGAGCGACCTCGACGGAAACCATACTGGCGGTCATTAATCAGCTGGTGATCCTCAAGGTACCGCATGAGCTGGCTGTTAATAATGGTTTCCATTACTTTGGACAACAAGGAGGTGATAGCGATAGGCCTGTAGTTGGACGGATCTGAGCGGTCGCCTTTTTTAGGGATCGGGTGCTCTAAAGCTGTCTTCTATGAGTTCAGGACTACGCCTAGGGAGTAGGAGTACCGGAAAAGACGCGTTAAAACCGGTGCCAACTACGGAGCACACGTCTTCAGCACAATGGGCGGGACTCCATCAGGCCCACTCGACTTGTTGACGTCCAGGGAGAGGAGTGCTTTACGCACCAAGCGCTGTGTAAACAGCACTTCCCGCATGGAGCACTCACACCGCGGGATGGTCGGCGGTGTTCCCCCCGTCATCTAGAGTATAGTTGGAAGCAAAAAGAGAGCCTAGCAGATCGGCTTTCTCTTTTTCGTCATGGGCCAGTGAGTCGTCCACCCTGTGCAGAGATGGCAGAGATGGCTGACAGAAGGTCCCTTGGACAGCCTTGGCGAGAGACCAGAACGCACGTGTTCCCGAAGGGAGGCGAACTAGTTTCTCGCCAATTCTGCCGATGTGCTCTGAAAACTTTATAAATACTCGTAATAATTATTTATAAACGACTTTATAACTAACTAAATACATTGAGTTATATGTACTACGTACTAGAGAAGCTATTCCAAACAATAAATTGTGCGCTGCTCTATGTCTTCACGCAGTCGCGCATGCGCGAAGACACTTAATTTAATATAAAATAAGACATTAATATAAAATAAATATAAGAATAAAATATTATAGTATTTTATTATTAAATAATAAAATACTCTTATTTTAATCTAAACAAACATATTTCTAAATAAAATGTAATAATAAGTATCTTATGGAATTCACAAAACTTCAATTTACGCAATATTTAGTTTGGTGTACGGACTGCAGTACAGTTCAGTTGAACATAGTTAATGTTCATAATGCGAAATCTAGTGCGTAGTACCTATATATCGATGAGAAAATATTACCGCTCGCCTAGTAGGAAGCTAGGAAGGATGTATAATCATCACTATGCACATCAGGCGGATAAGTGATCGCATACCGGTTAACATTGTTCCTCATCACCGGTCTGGGTATATTACGTAGGGTGTAACAAAGCCAAAAAAACTAAATAAGATGATGTATTCTCTTTCGCCATAATCACACTACAAATAGCTAAGCAAAACGCACTTCCAGGCACTTTGACCATGTTAATGATAATGATAATGTCATGCATGGAGTCGTTCTTTATAAGAGAGGTCAGAAGCGAATGGACTCGTAATTTTATTAATATAATTCAACGCCCACTCCGAAATGTCACCTATAATACGGACAGAGTGACAACTGAGCATTAGCGTTTAACACTGTGCAGCTGAACGTGGTAAATCAGCACTTAAAATTGCAATTAACAATTTCATTGGTGCCGGCGGGGATCGAACCCGGATTGCTCGCGTACTGCGAAATTGATTGCAAGCGATTAGTCCCCTGCTACGTCGACTCTTCATCAAGTATGACAAATGTCATTTCCAAGTACGGCGACGGGGAAGCGGCCTCAATGGTGCATGAATTCTGCATTTTGCAATTCTGCGCGATTCACATAGTGAATAGTGTTTGGCTTGGCTTCGCGTTCACGTGTTACGTTTGGTTTCGTCGTACTGCGTAAATGTATCAGTGTCGATTATTATACAATGTCTATTTTATATTAATTTTAATTTAAATTATTTATTAACAAAATATAATCGTATATGGATTAGTAAGCTTAATTGGCAATGGGCCGGCCATATAGCTCGAAGAACCGATAACCCATGGGAGTAAAAGGTCTCGAGTGGCAGCCTCGTACGAGTAGGCGAAGTATACGGTGGCCATCCACTAGATGGAGTGACGACCTGGTAAGATATGCAGGAAGTCGATGGATGCAGGGGGCTCAGGATCGTGCTTAGTGGCATTCCTTGGGGGAGGCCTATGTTCAACAGTGGACTTGTGAAAGGCTGTAGTGATTATGATGATGATGATGATGTATTATTTTATATTATTGAAAAAAAAA